ACTTCTTGAATTTAGCAAAAATTTGATTCACTTAATATGCTTGTGTTTATTTCCCAAATATATAGTTTAATATTACTGGCATTGTTAGAGACATTAATTTTCATGACGTGTTCATAGAGATATCTAATACTATTTTTATTACTCTAGTTCATTCTAGTAAGTCTGTCTTCTTAATGGGTGAGTGGACAAAGCCATTTGTTCTGTTTATGGGATAACATAGGATAATGGTGCTACCTGATTCATAATCTATATGAAAATGACCATTTTCTATATTATGACATGCCTGGTCTTAACCTTTTCCAGTGAAATTTAAATGCTTAGTCTCATATCTTTTAGAAATCAAATCATACAAATAATACACTGTATTGTCCCTACTGTTCTGATAATATAAAATCCATAGTCCTGTAGTTGAAATACAAGAACGAAGACAAAAATTGGGATATCAAATATTAGCCATGTTTCTTATTTTCCAGATTCCCTTATCTACTTTTTGAATACAAGTTATCCAATTAAAAATGCATTAATCACATCTAAATTATTTTTCAAGTTTTTGAGTTGCACTTTACTGTGGAATTCATGTAGTTTGAATTCATGATACTACATCATCTAATAGATGGTTTGGGATCATGCAAAGAAAGCAGATGATCAAGAACCTTTGGAAGTAATTATTTTACTTTTTATCCAATGATGAAATCTCTAATTGTAACTTCAGAATAGAATGTTGACAGGATGGAGAAAGTGGAGAAAGAAGAAAGGGAGAGAAAAAATATATATGTGGAGCACTTTAATGTACAGAAGTAGAAGGCACACCATGAAATGATATAGTCAAGAGAACGTGTAATAATATGGATGCTGTATCTGGAAGCAGAGGAGTTGGGCAGTCGAATTGAGATGGTACAGTGGTTGAGGGGTAGACAGAACCTCTGTAAGCAGATTCCTATTTGGTCTTGACTACTTTAGACTGTAAAGTCTTACATGCTGCTATCTGCTGCTATTCTTCAGTGAGTCATCTAAAGTTTCAGTTTGCCCTTCAAAAAATGTGAAGAAGTATCACTTTATGTTTAATTATAATACAATCTCCAAGATTGAACAATGTCTTTCTTGTACTACAGAGGGAATTAAGCCATTACTTTTACCAAACTTGTTTTAAATGCCTAAGTTTCTAATAATAAGACAACGTTCTCTGTTAAATTGTTAGTAGTTCTAAGATATGGTAATTATTAACAATAAATCACAGCTACATTTGAATTAAAACAATCATTTCTGTCATAATATTAAAAATTTAGTATTAGTATTACTAATAGTATTACTAATACTATTACTAATAATTAGTAATACTAATAGTATTATTAATAGTATTTTCAGAGTCAGAAAAGGCTGAGAATTAGAAATGGACAGAAGACAAGAATGAGATAGGATTAGGAAGGGTCAAGACACTACTGTATTGGCAGAGCAGACATAGACATTGAGTGAATGGGAAGAAACAATGGGGTACTGTTACCATTAAATTGGTAGGAGAAAGAGAAAGGCAATAAAATAGAAGATAGAAGTTACTGAAAGTAAAATTTGTCCTTATTCAAATTAAATATAAGGTGAAGTCATATCATCTAAGCCTTGTCAACTATGTGCAAAGGCAAACTTTATTAAGGGCCATTATGCAAACTTGAGTCTCTACAACAATATTAATCTCATCATGCTTGAAACCTTACTTATCTGTACCCATGTGCATTTTATGAATAATTCCTCAAAATTGATTAATTCTAATACACATACAAAGATATAAAAATAAATTAGAAGTTGGTTTTAAAGAAAGTAATTTATATTATATATTTGTATACATATATATATAAAACATATTATATCAGGCAATTGAGTTTGCTAACTCAACCTAGAAAAAGTGTTACATATCTCACTGCTGAATATTGCTATGGTCACCTTCAAAGTACTCTCCTTGGGAAGCTATGCACCAATGCCAGTGCCTAGTCCAACCTTCATAGTAATTTCAGAACTCTTTTTCTGGAATGGCTATCAGAGCTGTTGTCTTATGATGCACACAAACATGCAACAATGGTAATGAACACCATCAGCAGGATACCACCACACACTCACACAAACCTAGTTGTGAGACACTGATATACTGACGTTGAGGTTATGAAACCTTACTGAGTTGTTTGTATGGTGCTGCCAATGTCAACACACAGTGGCAAGTTCATGAACTTAATTGTCAAACTTTGTGAGACAACGGCTCAGATGGGCATTCCACAAAAGGGTTCAAAAATTGCTTTGACAGGATACTGGCTTCAGTATATAGCTTCCCAAGGGCAGCACTTTGAAGGTGACCATAGTGATATTCAGCAAGGAGTTGATGAATTTAACTTTCTGAGCTTGTATGCTACATATATCCCCAAATGTCTAAAACATTATTATTTCCAATTTGTGACTTTAATTGTGTATAAACAGGTTTATTCCCTGTACTTGAGGGAATAGTTTTGGTTTCAGTGATGATTAGGGGTACTACTAGCAATCTAGTGAATAGGATCCAGTGACACAAAACAGTGGGTGGTAGAGTAAAGGTCTGAATAGTTCAATGCTATGCCACCCAAAATGTCAATACATGGGTTTTTTTTTAGATATACATAACTAATAACAGCCATTATGATAATAAAATAATCACATCAACAATTTGTATCAGACATCATTGTTCAGCTAACTTGAATCTGCATTTTAACCAATTTTACTCAAGAAGGTCATTAGATATATTTCTATCTAATGAGAAATAATTTTCACTTCGGTAAGGCTTTACAAAAAGATTCCCTATATTTACTGCTTAAAAGAAGATAGATTCAGCTGAAATGACTAGTTCCTTCTGTTATTTTGATTCTCGTCACATTCTGAGTATGGATGTGAAGCCACCTTCTTATGAACACAAGATAACCTATGTGGGGATAAAAGCAAGCTTAGATGAAAGACCATGCAGAAAAACAACTTGGATTCCTAATTTAATGCTGAGATTCCACCCTAATCTCATGTTGTCTAATACATAAATGTATTCGATGTGAAAAAAAAATCTTGTTTTAATACCCTTTAGTTATATTTTATTTTATCTGTGGTCTAAAAGTACATTTAACATTTTAACAAATAAACAGTCTTAACAATAAACAATAAACTCTTGATTTTGAGTTAAGTATAGGTAAAATATATACTGACCACCTCCTGGAAATAAGATATTAATAGGTTTTTGAGTAAATTTATATTGCTATTTATTTGACAACTATTACATAATTATAGAAAAGTTATGCTGTTGATGGCAATGTTCTCACTAGGTTATAAACATTACCTTTGTACAACTGGAAATAGAAATGCAATTGAAAAAATTCACGACATTCCTAATATGTATATACACATGCTTTGTTAATAAAATCTACTAATTAAGGAGAAAAAGTAAAGACGTAACAGAAAATAAAAAATATTTGCTATCAATTGAAATAAATAAGTTGAATTGAACTGTGTTTTTCCAATATCAATACTTCAGAATGGACAAGTCAAGTGTAGCTTTTAGTTTCAAGTAAAAATTATACAGATATAAATACATTAGACACATTGTCAGAACTAGCTATTCACATTTTACTGTTCAGTATGGAATTTTATTAGAATTCCTTACAAACTTTTACTATCCTCTTATATTGTACCATACATTCTTCTGGATATAACTGTGGAATACAAACTGTATGGAGGGCCACTTCTCCAGGACATTAATGAATTTGGGTCTCCTGGATAGAGAGACTCTCTCTTTTCCATAGATTTTCCAGATGGGCGAATAAGAATATCAAGAGACCTGGCTGGAATAGCGATACGCTGCTACGTTCACTGAGAAACCAATGAGCCTTCAGAGCCCTCTTGAGGAAGAGGTATAAAGTCTCCCGGCAGAGCATCTGAGACAAACACAGCTGCTCATCATTGCCAGCATGACACCTGAGACAAAGTTGAGTTGTGAGGGGACTATTCGTCTTAAATTTAAAATTTGAATTGATGTCTAAAATTAATGATTCAAATATACTCTTCAAAATTAAATTTCCTTTTTCATTATCCTTCAAATCTTAAATGTTTGAATTTAGAAGGAGTGATATTATAGAAAATTATGGATTTGTGGGACAATTTTTTAAAATGCTGTCTGCTAAAGTGTATTTAATTTATATAGAACTAATAAACATTCAATCAGCATAAACATAAAATTAATGCCATATCATAGGAACAGTCGTAAATATTAGTGAATAAATTTTACAAACGTTAATTTACAAAAATGTTTCATTTTAACATATTCTACAGTAGACAGATGTACTCTATGACATGAAACTTTTTGAAAAAATCATTTTCAGTGACCTTTGGCACCATTTTTGCTAAAAGCAAAGAGGCACCGTCCATGGGGATATTTTCCTCATCTGCAACCAGCTGACATCTTTCACCTCCCAACACTTGTCAAATAAAACAAAACAAAACAAAACTTTGCTCTTCCACGTTGTTTGAAGTAGGGCTGAGTAAACTTGAAGAAAACTATCTCCTCTTACTCAAATGCAATGTGACCCTTCTTTGTTAAATGTTAAGGATGAACGGATTCAATTATTTGATTAAGCAACTTATTCTGTGGTGTGCTTTTCTAATAATCCTACCAGAACTAAGAACAATTGATAAGAGGACTTAGTCCAAAGTTACTAAAATCAAACAGGTTGAGGAATTTGTTAGGAAAGCTGGGAAAATAGAATTTCACTTCTGAAAAGCTGACAAGTCCGATTTCACACAGAAAGAACAAGATGAAAATCATGTGATTATGTTGATGATCTATGCTTAGATCTTACAAAAAAAAATCATAATTTATAATGATGGATTTCAGGTATATAAAATTACCATTTATCATTGCAGTTTGATCTTTCTATAAATTCCATAGAATTCTTAATGTAATTTAAGAAAACCTTGTACAAAATTATAATAAAGAAGATACTTACACTTCTGTATTTCACTATGTATTCCAAAATAGGGGCCCCTCCATCATCCTGTTTGGTGATGCTGAGCTTAAAGCTCTTCCCACTGCTTGGCTGTCCATGTATGGATGGAGGACTGGGTTCACCTAGGTACACAATACAAGAGTTCTTCATAGGCACACATTTCAGAAACTGCATTTTAATAAAAAGAAATAGCCACATAATCAAAATATATAATGCTATCCTGGATTTACCATTTGATATTTGTCCTACGATGTGATATAACCTCAGATTCCCATTTTTCTTACCCAATAAACAGCAATTTTCATAAACAGAGAAGCATCATGCCCAAATTATGAAACTTTAGGACCAAATATGTCCTTTATATTGATTTGCAAATGTTTTTAAAACACTACTGCACTATATAAATATACAACTTTATTCCTCTTATTTGTAATAGTATAAAAACCTATTTATTTTCTTAATGTAAATTTATTTTACAAATATTTATTAATACAAACATATCAGGTAGGCAAAAGTGGGTCTGAAAGGAAAGTGGGAAGCTGAAGGGTGGTACAGTTGAAAATTTTAAACAGCAAAGAGATAAGTCTCTATTGAAATTTCTGAAGATTTTTAAGAATCGTTTTTGGAAGATGGGTTAGGAGAAGACTAGGCTGGAGGTAAGATTATGAATTAATATCTGTTTTGGGTTATCCTGATGAAAACAAAATGAGGAACTAAAAAAAGACTAGTATTGGGAATGGAGCAAAGGAAACTCCTAACATATTTTATGAGAATTACTCATCACAAATTAAGGTAATATAAATTATTGTGATCAATTTGGCTGCACTAAAACCTACATATGATAGGACCATGAGCAGATTTTATAACAATATTTGTTCAGTTACACTCAGTAAATTTTCTATTATTTTAAATAATTTATTCAACATAAAGGAAATGTCAGTCTTTTCAATTCATTCTGCATTTCACGTAAACACATTGATTGAACATGTGTCAAAGTAGGACCGCTGTCAGAACAAGGCTACCATAGTCATTCTTCTCCTGTAGTCACCGTTGCAATGGATTAATGATGGGTTCTTTTTCTCACACTTAGGGCCTATATAATTTGTGGGTTAAAGACAATAGTCCTGTTTCATCCTAAGAACAGAATATCATACATGTTACACAGATTATGTACACTGGATTACATTATCCAGTGAATCGCTTATGAGTAAGAAGGACATCGTTATAATGGAGACAATTTTCTGAGAGCATTTTCACTGTGTGTTCTCAGCACCTTTTGTTCTTGTCTTGCTCTTAAGCAAGGTTATTTTTATAAATCTGAGATGTCACCATCTTCAGAAACTACTTCAATAGAGACATAATTCACTCTCAGAAAGGGGTGAAACATTTCCCTGCATTTTAAAACGGGTTAAATTTGTAAACCTAGAGAACAAAACAGCAATGTTTACTCACGGACGGGCAGTGTTTGGAAAATTTCTACTTTACTGTAGTCTCCTTGCCCCTTTCCATTTACAGCTGCAACCCGGATTTCATATGTCGTATTTGGTTCCAGGTTGCTCAAAACAACCATTGCTAGAAGAAAACAAGAAAAACTACATATGTAGCTACATTTAAAGAATTTTAATAAGGAAAACAATTCAATCCATGACAAGGAAGAGTGAATAATTCACTATAAAGCTTTCTGTGAATACCTGAAAATAAATCGAAAAGTCAGACAGGAAGAGAATGATTTGTGAGTGGTCCTCTTCATCACATCTGTTTCAGCTTCCAAGCCCACGCATTAATTTTAAACGTGGAAAATTAACCAAGAGGAAATAAAAATATTTCCTTTCACTTCTTTAATATCCAAAAATAAAAATGATGTGAACAAAATATTTCTTATATACGTATTCCAGGTATTATGTCAGCTCTAAATGAATTATAACTATAGAATTTAACACAGATATGGAATTTAAAATACGAAGCACTAATTTCTAGCATATGACATAAGGTGTTTTGGTTATGTCAAAAAAGTGTCACAAAGTTGAAACTGCAGCAAAATGGGTTCGTTTACTCAACAAGTTCAAATAAATTCAAATTATTTTAATGCTATCTTGAAGCATCTCATAACTTGCATTTCTCTATGATTTTCCTTTCAATTATAGAGTGCATCACACCTGGATTCAACATGACACACAAGAATAGGAAGAATTTGAAAAAAGTACAGGGAATTGGAAATTATTAAAAACCTCTTCTGGGTCATGTCAACCTTTTTAGTTTGAAAGAAAATGTTAGATGCAGTTGCAGATTTCAAAATATTAAATTTTCAAAATTTCCTCTGATGGAGCTAACCAAATTCCATACTTGCCTCTATCCTTAACTGCTTTAGTTAAGCAAAGCTAAAATTTAACTAGTATAAATGGAAATATCTTGCTGACAATCAAAAGGAGGTTATGTCTGATTCACAGTAGTTCCAAGTCAGAGGATAAATTCATAGTAAGAGATGATATATAAATGATTAAATAATAGGTAATCAGGATCATAACTAAAGAAATATTGTTTTACATGAACCAAACCTGAAGATGATATATAGCCAATAAAGTTACACTTAAATTTTTAATATCTTATTTGTACTATTTATATTATGATATAGATTCACTTAATGACAATTTGTATTTCTACAATGTATGCTAATCATGGCATCCATTTAGCTTTTATTGAAATTAATCTAGAGTGTATTATTTATCATAGTCTAGAAAAAAGTTGCAATACACTGTAGAGATATTTTCTTGTCTAAAAGGAAAGGCAGAAGAATAAATATGCAAACAATTTAATGTCAGATAAATATTAACAACTATAAAAATCATATTCCTGATATCAACCAAACCTTATTTAAATCCCTAAAGAAACCATGTGTTTCCAATAGGCAACATTTACATTTGTATTTCTTATTTTCTGTACCTAGAAGAGAACTGAACTTGCTTTAGAGAGTGAACAGCCTTGTCGAGGTCCCATATTATGACACACAATGTCAGACTGAAGGAAGACAAATTGGGAAAATATTGATTGGCACAGAAATCAAAATGATTAGAAGTTTCCAGGATAAATGGGGAAACCAAAGCTTGATGTTATCAATTTATGACAGGCTAACAACCTGTAAGCTTTTTCACGAAACTAAAACTCAGATGCTGGTCTGGAGTCAAGAAGTATATAAATTTAGCACCAGGAAAAGAATATAGTTCCAATAAAGAGAAGCCGAGTGCACAGATGGAGCTGGCTGTATAAATTATGGAAAGGGTAAAGGGACTCACGTAAGAATTAGGAAGCTAAAATGCTATTGTCCTTAAGAGGAAAAGCTTTTTATCAAAGTCAGGATAATAATGGATTTAAGAGTTTAAAATTCCTAACATTTTATCACTTTCATTAATAAATATAAACATTAAAACCAAAGTGATATAGCCTCATCTGACTCCCACCTACATATAGTCCTGCTTCATTAGGATAAAGAATAATACAATTTAATACTGACTGCTCCAAGAAATCGTACTGTCCAAAGGCCTGTCTATTTTTGGTATAAGGCTTGAAGAATAAGCACACCGTCATAAGGCAGATCTTTCCTAATTTCTGTGATAAAAAGATGCAGGTGAAACCATCATTTTAAAAACAAATGGTAGACTGCGTTGCTGAGGGCAACTGGTAATCCTTACATTTGTTTCTTTGTCTAAATACAATTCAAAAAGAAAAGTAAGAGAATTTAAAGCATACCATTTTAATGGCAAATAAAATTACACATACATTAGAAAGTATGGAGATCATATTCCAGATATGCTCTCTTCACCTTTTTAGTTTTAAAACTGTGGACAACAGAGCTGTCATATATAATAAGAGCATATATAATAAAATAATGATTCAGGTTACTACTTAGGCTAAACATCAAAAACAAAACGTGCTCCTACCCCCAATAAAAAAAGGCAATTGCACATTTTATGTGAATTAATGGATATTTCAAGCTCTTGCTGGCTTGGAGTGTCAGCATTGTCTTTGTCTCACATTTCATAGCGTCTGTGAGAAGCTTTGAGAGTCCTGCTCCCTCTGCCAAAGGAAAATCTATTTCCTCAGTTACATTAGGATCAATTCTGAATGGATTTCCCCCACGTTCTCACGCATTTTCTGTTTCAGTATCAAGGCTCTCCTCCCACGTGCTGAGTTTCACCTCAGAGAAGTAGGCAGAGGAGAGGAGCTCAGAGGGCAAACACTGTGATGGCCAGACTGTCCTTACAATCCTGGACTAGTGCGCTCAACGTTAAAGTGGATAAGGGGCAGAGTGTGGAGGACGGAGGTGTGCAAGTCAACCTACTGCTGCAAGTTTTACAAAGTGAATACCCAAGAACTCAGTTTGTTTTTGACTTTTGACTGTAAAGATTTTGGTAGAATAACACTTATTAGGAGGCTTATTAACAGTGTGAATATAAAGATTGTTGTGTGAAAAGAAAGAACTCCATACAGTGAGCCCAAATTAAAGAAAAGAAAAGGAAAAGCTGTGGGGGAGGGTGAGCCTAGAGCTGCAATTTGACTTGCCTCGCTTAGATGAGAGGATCTATATGGGAAAGCATCTGTAATTTACTGGCACATTACCAAACACAGGGTTACTGAACACCCAAGGTGGGGCCTGAATGGAGACCGCCACTGGAACAATGAAGGGCTATGTACTCTATACTCGAGCTGCACCAATCATAAAGTCAGTTAGAAGACTTTCTTTTGCTAAATGTGACGATGCAATAGAACAACAGACATGCAAATGAGGTGTAAGGGCGGGTTCTCATCCCTCTAACTTATCAGAAATTCAAACTCCAAAATTAGATGAAAGTAGATCCAGATTATAAACTACTGAAGCTAATAAAGGGCATCATTTAAGGTATTTTATAGCTATAGTCAGAATGGTTTGGAAATGATAATGAAATTCTTCTGAGAATTACAATCATGATTTTTCTTTGACATGGAAACAGGGAAGAGTTCTATAACAAGTATGGATTCTCTCACTAATTTAATGTTTCTTCTTATTTATATATAATTATTTTATAAATAACCATTTATCACCATCACGATTATAAGGTATGCATAAAAATAAACAGTGTAAAAATTGGGCTTTAAGTGATATGGGATTTTATGTAGAAAGTACATATTATCCCTTAAAATCAGATTGCTTCCCATTAAAATACAAAAACTACCCTATATAGAAATTTTTATTCAAAAATATAAGTCCCATCAAAAAATACGTTTCATAAAGAATTCATACTTTTTCATTTCAAATATAAGATTTCTCAGTATATATCAAGTAATTTATCCAAAAAAGGTTTGATAACATTTTATCAAGACCTATTAACATATTATAGATGTTTAATTACCAACTATTTCCTTCTATAGGAAGGATAAAAACAATACAGTTCTCACTCACGTCATACCTTTAAGGTTGAAAATAACCTGAAAACAATTTTTAACTCACAAAATTGCCTCAACTGTCTACACCACAAAACTTTTTCTATCTATAAAGTGTTTATTTTATTTTATAACATGGAAGTTGTGTGGGGGTAAGTTACTCTTTTATTATTAAATGTCTCTCCTCTGTGCCTAAGAAATTCTAAACTTCATTTTAGCCACTTAACCTCCTAATATTCTCTACACATAATTTTTTACCAATATTGATCACGCCCCAATACTGCATTCGGCTATTATACTATGAGAAACTTTTATCATAATTATCTGGTAAAAAGAACACATATTGGGCGGCATCTGTGGCTCAAAAGAGTAGGGCACCAGCCCCATATGCTGGAGGTGGAAGGTTCAAACCCAGCCCTGGCCAAAAAACCAAAAAAAAAAAAAAAAAAAAGAAAAGAAAGAAAACAAAAGAACACATATTACATATATCATAAATAGTATCTCCAACCCCAATTATTTACATGGAAAATATAATTTAACAAAGAGTTTTCAAGTTTGGGTTTTAAAAGATGTACCAAACGAAACACCATGTTCATTCATGGTGTAATAAAAGACGGAAATTTAGTTTTAAGGCAGATTAATATCCCATTGTGTGTATGTGTTTATGTATGTATGTGTGTGAAACCTTACTTTCTTTATCCATCTATGGATGCATCAATAGACATTTAGGTTGTTTCCACATCATAGCTATTGTGAATAATGCTACAATGCATGTGGGAGTATAGATTTCTCTCAGAGATCTTGATTTCATTTTCTGTGAATAAATTCCTAGAAGCAGGATTGGTAAGTCATAAGTTAGTTCTACTTTAATTTTTTGAAGAACCTACATATTGTTTTCCATAAAAAAAGTGTATAAGTTTTTCCTTTTCCCCACATCCTCACCAAAGCTTACTTTTTCTCTTTATGAAAATAGCCATCCCAATAGGTGAGAAGTGGCATCTCCTGGTCTTTATTTAAATTTCTCTAATCACTAGAGGTGCTAAGCACCCTATCACACACCCGCTGAGTATCTGTATGCCTCAGTTTGAGACATATCTAATCAAGTCCTTTGACCATTTTGCAATATGTGCTTTATTACTAATTTGAGTGGTTTGTTC